CCCTGTCAGCTAGGGTTTAGCTGAAGCCTTGCAACTTGCCTTTTGTCTTCTCAAATGATGGAGCTGAGCCCAAGGGAACAAATGCCATTTTAATGGGCATCGTTGTGTAACTCATTACATAAGTCACTGCTGCCTTCAAAGGACTCGTGGCAAAAGTGGCAGGAGCAGTTGATTAAAAATGTGCACAATAGCTTCATTATGACATGGGGAGAGATGTCCCCTGTTATTTTTAATCTGATAGCTTTAAAATATGTGCATCCAGCAGAGACCTAAATGGCCTTTGAAAAAGGAACCATTTGTGGAATAAGGTTTTTGGACTCCACTTCGTTCTTTCTAACAAGCCGCAAGAGTCAGGACAAGCTGGAAAATTAACTATAACCCTTTTTAAAGTTGTGTCCCCTCTAAAGCTGCAGGGTTTTGGTGTCTGAACACACAGAGGGTGAGAGAAGATGGAAGGCTTAGTTTTTCAGGTGAAGGAAAGAAAAGGTACTGTATTCTGAAGTTTGTGGGGTTTTGATTAAAAATAAGTCTATTTTCAATTAGTTTTATATGATCCAGGCACTACACAGGTTGAGAAGCTTGTCCCAGCTGCTGGAGCCTCCCTGCCATGGAATAGTAGTGACAAAAACAGGACCAGGAGGTGCAGAAGCAGGCAGGGCATTATTTCCCATTATTTCTGAAGCTCCCCTGTGCTGGTACAGGAGGCTGGGACCCAGCAGATGGAAACTCTGCTGTGACTGAGCTCTGTAAAAGGCTGAACTTTCACTTTGACTTTAAAGCTTTGCTTCTGGCTTAGCTTGGTGGAATTCACCAGCCTGTGTGTGTTTTTTGACTTATGCTGGCCTTCATTTGAACCCAAGTGGAGAGTAACCATTTGACTATGGCAGAGGTGGATGTTGGGCTTTGACTTGCAGGCTTTCTCCTAAGCAGCCTTAGTTCCTTCTCCCACAAGCACATAAGCTGATTTATCTGCCTTCCTTTTTAATCCACTGTTGTTTTGAACCTTTCCTCAACAGGTTTGGTTTTCTGTTGGCAAACTGGAGCAGCAGCAATTGCTGGAGCTGGGGAGCTGGTGGGGAATCAGTGGCTCCTGGTTGACCATGGTCTCCTCAGCCATGCTCTGCCTGGCCCAGGGGCTGCAGGGACACTGAGAACCCCTCTGGGCACACCTGGCAGCAGGGCTGGCTGGAGCAGGAGTGTCAGAGCAGCTCTGTGGTGCTGTGTGTGTGGTCAGAGCCCAGACACACGCCTGGAGCTGAGCAGGGCCGTGACTCAACAGCTGGAGCACGTTCAGCAGCAGGAGCCTCACTGACAGGGGATGGAATTAGCTGTGAAACCAGTGACGTAGTGAAGCTTCCAGGCAGAAATCAAGAAACTCAGATCTATAATAAAGTCATTTTGAAGGGCTTTTTTTTTTTTCCAGCAGGAGAGAGCATCCAGACAGATGAAATATGAGGGGATGGAAAGTCAGTGGTTCCTTTGAGACAGAAACACTTTGATACAACTTTTTTCTTTCCCCCTTCCAGTTGAAATCACTTCATTGAGTTTATTACCCTGACTTTTCCCATTCATCTCACAAATATTTGGACAGTTCATAGAAGTAAGTGTGGGGTACCCTCCTCCTGCACACCAGAGAGGAGAAAGCCAGTGCTGAGACTCCAGCTAAACACTGCTGGCTATTCATCAACAAGAGGCGAGGGTAATATGATAGAATAATTTCCAGTGGGCAAGCTCCCAAGCTAAGAACAATCTCAATGCTGCATTAAGGGGTTTGGTTACTGTAGATAGGCAGGAAGGAGCAGAGGGACAGAAGTGGTTTGAGCCACTGCCATGGCTCTGTTTTCTGCCTCTGTGTATGTTATCAAATTATTTAATCTATAAAGGCATGCTGTGCTGTTTGAACTTTTTAACTGGACAGGCACACAGGACATGTAAGCTATTTCAATTAGGATATACTATTTAAAAAAAAGTTATTTTTTCAAAGCAGACCAGTGCTGTGGTAACCAGTCTAGGAACTTACTCAGCTGTGCTCTTTGGAGGAGAGTTTCAGGCTTCATCTGTAAAAGCTTAGGTCCCTTACACCTGTGAGCTGGAATCCCTCCCTGCTCAAGTGTCACTTCTCTTTTATACCACTTCATCCAGATTCATTACAAAGCAAATTCTGTTTATAATGCTTGAATGATGTATCAGCTTGCAAACTGTAAAGCCCAGTGTGCCGAATAATTCTGTTGGCATTCACTGAACATAATCACAGGAGCTCCAGAGCTTGATCCCTGAGCAGGGGCAGAGGCTGGGGGCCTGCAGAGTGATGGAGATGCTGCACCAGAGTCACTGACTCACCCTCTGCTCTGCTTAGACAAGTTGCTTCACCTCTGTGCCTGCTTCCCATCTGCAGAGGGAGGTTAAGGCCTGACTGTTTAAGGATGAGAAGGATGTGTTTGTAATGTGCTTGGAACAAGAAAAGCGCTATTTTAAGTGCTAAGTGTAATTGAGTGTGAGAGAATATTGGTTTGTGACTCATTTGTTTAACTGCAAATGCATCAGAAACTTGTGAGGAGATGAGAGTTGGAAAGTGCTTGGTGTAGACAGAAAGCCATGGCAGTAAAAAGCTGCATTAATTTGTGATCTTCAAAGCAGGACTTAGCAGGGCTGTTCAGACAATAACATTTATTATTTTTGCAAATGTCAGCTGGTTTTCTTCAGTACTATTTTAAGCAGTTCCCATTCTGCTCCAGCCACTTGCTTCTGTCCTTGCTGTGTGTTTCTGTCTCCCCTCAGAGTGTGGCACACAAATTATTTGGTGTTTGCTGTGACCAAAGGATAAAAAGAGCAAAGGAGCAGTGGTTGGCTGCTGCTGGTGGTGGTGGTGAAGAGGATGTGCTGTCAGCAGAAAAGGAACTTTCTCTGGTGGCATCTCCTTTTGGAGGTTCCTGACCACCCAGACATGGTGATTCAGCCATTCATGTGCTTGCCCAATAAAAGTGGGTAGAGATGTCTGGTGGCAAGGAGAAAAGGAAATGGTAATCTTTAGAAATCTTTTTCCCTTCCAAATATCTTGTCCCTGCAACTCAAAATTATCACCATAGGTGACCAAGGGTTTTGCAGGCATTGAGTGTTGTCTTACTGAAACCAGCAGTTTGGATCTCAATGCAGCCCGTGGAGGAGCCAGACACAATTTGTTGCTGTCACCATTACTTCCCTGCAGATTAATTATTGTAATTGTTTGCCAGTTCTCAAAAAATTAATTCAGAGCCGTGACTTTTCATGGCAAGTGTGCATATGCGTGCAAATATGGAAATTCTCATATGGTGTATGGAATAAATACAAATGATTTAATGAGGAGGAGCTCAAGAGCGTTATCACAGCAGCCAGGAACTCTCTTCAGTGGTGACCTTCAGCACCCTGTGGAGACAGAGAGGTTTTAAAGGTTTGGAGATCCTCTTGTGGATGTAAAGCACTGACGTAAATTGTTGCTAAGTTGGGGTGCCAGCTGCTGCAAGTGATTCTTCAGAGGCCAACTGATATGCCTGGATTTATCTGCAGTGGCCAAGGTTGTTAGTGCCTCCCTCCTCAGAGCACTAAACAGGACTTTAGGACACAAAGAAAACCTTGGGAAAACATTCACTCCTGTAAGTGGAGAGCAGCTCTGCAGCCAGACTAGATTAGGATGGGTGCTCACACAGCTCCCATTTGTAGGATGCAAAATCCTGGTCTGGAGGACATCCCTGAGCAGAGTGCTGTGTGCTCACAGAGGGTCAGAACATGCTGCAGGAAACCAGGTTCAAAGGGAGCCAGGTTCCTTTCCTTGGGCTGTGGTTAGGTGGTTTCTGAGTGCCAGGAACAGCACTTGCTCTGTGGTATTTAGCTGCTGGTTGCTAGATTTGACTCAGCAGCCTTTGCTGTTTGCAGCCTGCATGCTAATGAGGTGCTGCAGTGCTGCATGCATGGGGCTGTCCTCTGCACTCATTACAGCCAGTGCAGCTAATGCTCAAATAATCTAAAAGAAAAATTAAACACGCAGCAAAACTGTGTGCTTTTCTTCATAATGTAGTTAGAGACAAGTTGGGTAACTTCTGCTGAATTATCTGGGTCACTAGAGAGCAACTCAGACCTTCATTTATTAAAGTGCTCTTTGCTCAAAATACTTTCTAAATTGCACTCTACAAGGCAGATTAGTTTTTAGTTTTTAGCTTAGTTTTATTTAGCTTCATGGTTAAACAGATAAAAATGTATTTCAACAGTAAGTCTGCATATGGCATGATTGCAAACCTTTGAGACTTCTTTTAGGTATTCAAAAAACAATGAAAATACAATTTCTAAAAGGGCTGAGCACTTCTGCAGTTCAGTTCCTTGAAGGATGCCCCAGTATCAAAGGGGTTCCTCTATTTTTTCTGGTACAGTGGAAGTGAAATCCATTCCAGATGACAAGGGCTGGCAATTTTGTTCACATTATCCACGGGGCCACATTCAAAATTGATGCTGCAGAGTGGGTAGAGATCGGCATCCTGGGCAGGGCATGACCTGGGATTGTGTTCAGCCAGGTCCCAGCACCAGGAGAGCCCTGCACTGACCCACAGCCAAGGGCTCTGCTCTGCCAGGGGCTGTGGAGGAGTCCCTTCATCCCCTGGGCTCACTGCTCATCTGCCAGAGAGGCACGATGATTGCCTGCTTTGTAAAGTACTTCAGGACCTTCTGGAGATAAGTGCTTTAAGAGAGGTGTTTTCCCTCTTCCCTCCAAGGCACAGAGCTGTAGCAGTCCCTCTGTCCCTGCCTCCAAGGGAGAGCAGGAAATGATGTTGATATTGTGGTTGAGGAAAGCAGGAAATTATGGTGGTGTTGTGGTTTGAAACATAATATAGAGCAGCAGTTTGTTAATTTTCTTTATTGTGTTCCACTCAATAAATTTACATGGTGCAAGTGTCTTCCACATAATGCTGTAACACATCCCTGGTTTCATCATATTTGCCCTAATCCAGAAATGCTTTTCTGTGTCTTTCTAGATTCTGAGCGTTCCCATCTCTCCTCGTTCACCATGAAGTTGAAGGGCAAGTTTCATTCACCAAAAATAAAGAGAACACCCTCAAAGAAAGGAAAGCAAGTTGACCTGACAGTGAAAACACCAGAGAAGTCAGTGAACAAAGTAAGCAAAGGCCATGTTCTGTTATCCTGATGGGTTCTTGCTTTCTGGTACTCAGTCTATCATAATCTGGTGTGTGAATTTGTCCTGTGCATAATTCTGCAGCTCAGGGATCCTCAGGGTCATTTTGTGGTTACCTATAAACAGCCCTGTGTAGTATTAAATCAAGACATGTGCTTCCCTTTGCAGAGCATGATGAGACCTCCTTCCACAAGCATTTAAATATCTCATTATGGGACGTGGTGTATGGGCTGACACATCCTCCCCACATGCACACCCTGTGCGTTGTGCTTCCAAAGAGCTGCCTGGTTTGGGGTGTGATCCTCTGAAAAACCCCAGACCCAGGCAAGCAAGCGCGTCCTTGAAGCTGCTCCAAAGATGTGCTCAATCCCTGGTGACACCAGCAGGGAGAGTCCCACAGAGGTGTTGGAGCAGCTGCTGATCCAGCACAATGTTCCTCAGACCAAATGTACTCCAGGTCCTCTAAGCAATGAGGTCACAAACTGATCTGTGTTATCTCCTCTCCTGTTGTGACCTGATTCTGTAGCTGGAGACTTTCTCTGCCACAGCACTGTTGCAGTCAGTTTTCAAGTACAAATTGAAGCCAGAAGTTAAGTTAAGAACAGTTGAGGTTGTTTAGGATAATTAAACATCATTCTCAGCTGTTAAAAGTCTCATCCAGTGCTCAGTGCCAGACATGCAGAATTTTTCAGATTATCTCTGCTGGGAGTTGTTGTGGAGTTACTGAGAATAGCTAACAAGATAAAGTTTTGTTAGGTTTTATGATTTGCTTAACACCCAGAGGAGTCTCTGCAGCCTTCCTCACCTATTCTGCCCCATCAGATGAAAGATGATGAGGGATTTTTCCCCAGGAGCCTGTGGAATTGCTTTCTAGGGAGCCAAGCACCTTGCATTGCTGAGTGCTATTTAAAAATAAAACTAAAAAACCCCAAGACAACCCTGAGAGTACTCCTTGAAGGCTTTTAATTCCAATGATGTTTCAGGATGGTATCTTGAGATAATTTAGAGGCCTTCCTTTAAATTGATGTGTGACCACATTAAATACATTAGAAAATGAAGAGCCCTTTTCAAAATGTGGTCTATAGCAAATGCATGTTAATAATAGATGAAGTTTTTGCTTTTCTATTTTTCCCCTAAAAACCGTGCAAGAGGATTTACTAATAAGCCATGCTGGACATTAAAATAATTTTTTACGTACAGATTGGGATTTTTTAGTTGGAAAACAAAGCACTTGAAATATTTTTTATTACTGTACATGATTATTTAAGCTGCATTCATTTTTATACTGCAAAATATTGTTGATTTCTGGTTCATTCCTTACCTATTTTAATAGCTACTGCCCAACTAATCAATTAGTTGGATGTAGTCAGCTCATTAGCTTTAGTGGAGGGAGTGGGGAAGAGGATGTGCCTGGATTGTTGCCAGTTTTTCTCACTGGAACCTAGACATCAGTTGACAAATGGGAGATCTTCTGTCAGAAGACTCACTTGATAAACCAAATACCATCCTTTTCTCCCTCTCAAGTACTTAAGATGCTATTTTTGTGCTCTTGAAGTAGATAATCACTGTAGGGCAGAAATAGCAATACTAAAAATTAATGTAAAATCACGATGTGTAAGCTGAAGGATATGCTCAGCTCATGCCAACATCATCATCTCCTGTTCCTCTTTATATCTGGATGGGGACAACATTGGAGATGTTCTTTTCTTTTTAGAACCTCCTTTTGTCCCCTGAACTTTGTGATTCTTGTCCTGTTGTAGGAACAGGAGTGTCCTTCAGTGCTATATACAGACTTATGATAGGTTTTACACTGCCAAAATGTAAGGAAAAAAAGGATGATTCCAGCTTTTGTAACTGGGTGTATTCTGTACAGCTCACTGTGACCCTTTCTGGGTCAGCTGTGTCTCATGCATGATGCATTTGCAATTTGATTATTAAGGGAAAATTTCAGAAATCATCCAGAAATATCTATATGTGTCAGGCAGGGATTTAGAGGAGATGCTGTTTTGCCTGAGTTGTAACTTTTTCCCATTTGATGCCCCAAAGAGAAATGGGAGGCTGCCCCATCCCTGGGAGTGTTCAGGGCAGGTTGGACAGACTTGGGGCAGTCTGCTCTGGTGGAAGCTGTGGCAGGGGTGGAATGAGATGAGATTTAAGATCTCTTTCAACCCAAACCATTCTATGGTTCTGTGCACTTCTATGTATGATACTTTGAGCCTTGGAAGAGGATTCATTACAAAGTGCTCCTGGGAATGTCACCCAAAGGAGAGGGAAAAAAACCCAAAAAATAAAAAATAAAAGAAAGGGCTATGTCCCAGGCAGTGTCTGGATTCACATCCCTTGGTGTGCTCAGAGGAAGGATTTGTGTTTCCAGTTGTCATTCTCAGCCCTGAACTCTGTCAGGCCCATCCCTTCTGTGCACCAGGAGAGTGTTTAAGCTATTAAGTCACAAGCCTTTCTACAGGAAACAGTTGTTGAATGAAACCCATAAACAACCATGGGAGCAGGAACTGCAGTCTGCGTTTTTTCAGTTCTGTTTGAGAGCTTTGACTGCTGGACCATGGTTGTACTTACCCAGGGAATTTACAGACCCTCTGATCCCTAAAATGTGTGATCATTTCATATGAAGTGCAAAACCTTGGAAGAGGCTGAGGCTCTCCATAGATTAATGGTTGGACTCAGTGATCCTGGAGGTCATTTCCAACCTAAATGTTTTTAAGATTCTGTATCCTGGAATAAACTCTGCAGTGGTGAGGGCACATCCCTGCAGAATGGGAAATGTCATTTTTTATCCCAGTGAGCTGCCAGGATGCTCCTCAGCAAGGAAGGGAGTTCAGGGCACTGTGGGCTGTAGATCAGAACTTGAGGTTCCTGGCAAGAAGTGTTGTCCAAAGGGGAAGCAGCAGCAGATTTTGGGCACTGCCCAGAGGAGATGGAAAATGACAGGGTGGTTTGCAGTTCTTGGATTGGGACTTAGACTTCTGAAGCTGGAGCTAGATGGAACTTGGGATTCTAACCCTTTTATGCAAGTGGCCCCAAATTACTAACCAGTGCTGCCTATAAATTGTTCTTCCTAAAATCTTTTGGGCTGCTGGCCTGATTTTGCAGAAAAGTAGCAGTTTAACAGCTGACAAGAATATGGGGAGCACACAGTGCCCATAGGTCATTAATTCTTGAAGCTGAATTTACTGAGGAGATAATGGATGAAATCTGACTCTGCTCCTTTGCTAGCAGTGCTCAGTAGTTATTTTAAATCTCACTTAGAAACTACTTGTGGTATTAAAAGTCCTCCAGGCATACTGTTGTAAACTTTTAAAAAACTATCCCTGTCCAGAATGCCATTGAGGTATCATGTGTCACTTCTGAATTTCCTCCTCTTGTGTTTGTGGTGGCACAGAAATTAGTGACCACAACTCAGCTTTATTCCAATGAATTGTTCCCTTCTGCAACATTCATTCACCAATGCCAAAACTTAGCTTTTACAGTTGGTCCTCGTGGAAATTGTGTGAGTTCTCTTCTTCCAGCAGCATCACAAAATGATTCAGGTTGGAGGCTCATCAGAGAGGAGTTTATTTGGAGTTTATGTGTTTTACAAGGACATGTAGTAATTGGACAAGGGGTGTTGCCTTTAAATTGACAGAGGGCAGGCTTAGGTTAGATTTAGGAAGAAATTCTTCCCTGTGAGGGCGGTGAGGCCCTGGCACAACTTTGGCTGCCCCATCCCTGGAAGTGTCCCAGGCCAGGTTGGATGGGGCTTGGACAGCCTGGGATAGTGGAAGGTGTTCCTGCCCAGATGGGCTTTAAGGTCCCTTCCAACCCAAACCATTCTGTTCCAGTTTAGGGTGAGGGTTTCAAAGCAATGTCCTTGATGTCATCAGTGCTAATCTTAGCCTAAAACTGATCAAGATCAGCCTTCAGTTTGGAATGCAGGTAATTCTGAAGGTTAAAGTGGGGGTGTAATCTTGCACTGACTATTCCTTTGAAAGAGTAGTGATTTAATTTAAAAGTTTTGTGGTAATAGGAGGTTTTTCCACTCCTCCTGAAACAGACCTCAGTGTCACCAAACTTTGGGTTTCTTAAAAGAATCCTGCCCTTAAAAATAATGAAATTTTAACAAATCTTTCCTTTTCTTCCCTCCTCTTCAGAATGTATCATGGCTGGAGGAGAAGGAGAAGGAGGTGGTCAGTGCACTCCGCTACTTTAAGACTATTGTGGACAAAATGGCAATTGATAACAAAGTGCTGGAGATGCTGCCAGGCTCAGCCAGTAAAGTGCTGGAAGCCATCCTGCCCTTGGTGCAGACTGACCCACGAATCCAGCAAAGGTGAGTTTCCTCCTTGGGTTTGGGACCATGACAGACCAACAGGCTCCTGCTTTGTCTGAGGAGCCTCATGGCAGGAGATGCTGGTGAAGTGACTCCTGTTTTCACTAAATTATTTTCAGACATCATTTAAAAGCAGATTCCCTGCTGTGAAGAAGCTCATGCCATGGAAAGATAAAGCAAATCAGGCTGCTTTCAGAGTGGAGGAAGGGATGGTTCTTAGCATAAACTTGGAAATTCATTGTTTTCCAGAGGGAGATTCTCTTCAGATGCTATTCCTGTTTCTGCAGTCCATGGTGGTATCCTACAAGCTAACAAATCCAATAGCTTCACCTGAAAAAAGAGTTTATCTTCAGAGTAATCCTTTTTTTTGCTCAGTTTATCCACCCTGATATTACAGAAGTCTGAGCCTGCACTCTTAACTGCTTTTTTTGGATTTTGCTGGATCAGATACAGAAGTAAATAGATGTACTTCAGCAGATTAACCAGTCCAAGTTCATTCCTGCCTCACTCAACAGATTATTGTTTTATGTTTTAACAGATTATGTGTATTACGTTTTTACCAGTTAGGCAGTGGGTTTGAAGCCAGGAAATAAGTAGAAATTTGCCAAAGCCAAGCTCAGCGTGGTTTATAAGAATTTGTGGTGTTGCCAAGCCACAGAGATATTGTTGGTGTTCAGCCCTTGGATGCTGGAGCAATTGATTTCCAGAAAACAAACAAACATTGTTGAATAATATTGAAAGAGCAAAGTTAACACAGAGGAAAGCACAGAACTAAGCAGAGAAATGCAGGTGTTTGGTTCCTGAAATCCTGCCAGGTTTTGTGCTGTTCCTGTTTGTTTTCCCATTAAATAGCTCCCATTTTTTTTTTTTACTTTCAAGATGCTTATTTCAGTGCTGGCACAGGGGAGGTTTATAATGTAGTTGGGGTAGCACTGGGTGCCAAATACTTTGCAAACAGAGATGCTCAGTTGTGTTTGGCCCCAGAGCTGAGGCCAGGGCAAAGGGAAGGAGGAAATGGGCGAGTATCACACCTGTGGCTGGGACAGGTAAGATCCAGTTGAGGTTGGATCTTTTGAACCATAAATCTGTTAAAATGGGAATGTCCTCTACACAGAGATATGTCTCTGTTTCTGGAAACACTGTGCATTAAAGCACAGATCCCATGTCCATGCCCTGCCTTGCTTGCTCTCCCAAAAAAACCCAAAAGGGGATCAAAAAGCCATGTCCTTCTCTCCCTACCTGTGGCAGGACACAAAGGGGTGACTCTGATGGCAAGAAAAGTGAGCAAGACTTGTGTCAGTGACAAAGAAAGCCCTACAATTATTGTTGGACTTCTTTTGGCTTTAGGGGAAGCATTTGCATCAAGGAAAAAAGTAATTAAATCTTGCACAAAATGGGCTTTCAATTACTGCCTCCTTAGAAGGAAGCAGACTGAAGATTAATGGCAAAGAAATCAAAGCCTTAGAAAGAGATGATGGAGGGCCCTGTTTAGGAAATATCTCCTACCAAGCTAATTTCATTTGAAATGAGAACAAATGGCAAGCAGCAAACCTTAAAAAAAAACCCAAACAACAACCAAACAATCAAATCCTTGCCATTGTTTGTATTCACTGGTTGAAACTTGACAGTAGTTCTTCCCCCAGTCCTGCAAACCTCATTCACCTAAATAAACTCGTTTGAGCTCGTGGGCTCGATTCTTTTCTCACAGATAATGAAGTTACTGGAGTTAAGCCAATGCAGAATGGATACCAGAGAGAAATGGGAAGATTTGGAACAACTTGTATCAGTAATGATTGCAAGATTACACCTTCTCTTATCTGTTTATGGTTTTGATGCAGTTTGAAATTGATTTAACGTGACAAAGAATTGCTGAAGCGTTGCCATCAGCAGTGCTGTTAACACACCTTGTTTAGTAATGAAGTCAGTGTTTTCAGAATGGCCAGGAAAATGCCTGGGAGCACTGTTGTTACAGTTAACTTTTATTTAAAGTTGTCATCCTTCCAAAACTCTTTTTTTTTCCCCTTCAGAACAATAGCTTCAATTCTGTTTCTCATTAAAAACAAAACAAAGCAACACCCTTCCTCTTTCAAACCTGAAATTCATTCAGTTCAGTTTCTCTAAAGAAGTAATTTTAATTACATGTTTTCAGGCATTATAAACAGTGAGGCAGTGATTTGTAAAGGAATGAATAGAGTCAGCTCTCAGTGGTCCAAGGTGGTTTTGGGGAGAGCTAATAAGGAAGAAGGATAATACTGAAATAACATAGCTTAAACTTAAATGTAGGGCTTGAATACTTACCTTTAACATTAAGGCATAGGATGGAGCTGTAAATTAAGATGGAAATAATTTTTTTTAGCATTGCTGTGTTAACCTGCATCCTAGATAATTCCTTCTGATGCTTGGGAATGAGCTGTTGGTGGTTTGTACCTTCACATTGTTATCATTTGGTAGATAACAGGTAGCTAGAGAACAGGAGGGCAGCTGCACTTGAGCTTTGTCACTTGCTCAGCACAAATTCTGAGTGTCAGAGAGCAAAGCACTGAAGTGCACAGTGTGAAACTCACTCTCCTAACGTTTGATAACATCTCCAAAATTTCTTTTTGTTCTTTTTTTTTTTTTTTCCTCAACTGCTGCCTCTCCTGCTGTGCAGTTCTGCCATCTCATCCTGCTACAGCCGAGTGTACCAGAGCCTGGCCAACCTCATCCGCTGGTCTGATCAGGTGATGCTGGAGGGGGTGAACTCAGAGGACAAGGAGATGGTCACAACAGTGAAGGATGTCATAAAAGCTGTTCTGGATGGAGTCAAGGTACGTGAGACATTGTAAATTTTATTATAAAGAGCATATAGTAAAGTATTTTAGAAGAGATCTATGTAAACTAGACCTCTTCTAGTGTCAACTAGACCCCTTCTAGTTTAAACTAGACCCCTTCTTAATTTAAACTAAACCTCTTCCAGTTTAAATTAGACCTCTTCTAGTGTAAACTAGACCTCTTCTAGTTAATCTCTTCTAGGTTTTTAAGTGCAGGTAAAATATGATGGTCCTATTTCTGCCTTCAGTAAACTTACCCCTTAAATCAACTGTTCCATAAGTTAAATGTTCCTCTTTGGAGTGCTGGTTAAAGACTAGCACAGTTTGGCTCTGAATGGGAACTTCTGGCATGCTCACCCTGGCATTTGGATGAATTGGAAGAAGCAATGGATCTTTCTTCAGTGTTGCATTAAATTTTCAGCAAGTCATTCCCAGTCTCCCCTGCAGATTACAAGACGTGGTTTGCACATTTTCTGTCTCAGCAAAATAAAATGAAAATGCTCCCTTGTCAATGCCCACAAAGAATGAAAGACTCCAGCTCCATCTTTTAAGAGAAATTTCAAGGGATTTGTCAGTGATACATCACCACTCTGGATTAGGGTGTGGAACAGGTGATGAGCTAGACTCAGTTTTGTGCAGATTAGTTTTACATTGCTGATGGAAACATTTAACAGAAACCTTTGTGTCCATTGTCAGACCTGCTTGTAGCATTCCTTCCCTGTTCCACCCTGGAAAAGCCCTGGGCTTTCCTCCTGCCTCCCTGGAAGATTCTTGTACCCATTATTTCTGTGTCCCAGGCTGTCCCTGGGCTGATCTCTCACCTGTCCTAGCACTGTTGGTAAAGTTTGGTTGATCTGGGCTTAGGGCACCAGTGGAGTCTTATCTCCTGGGAATCTTGTTTTGGAAACTGTAGAGGAAGTTAAATCTCCTTCAAGAGCAGGGCTGAATTTAGAGGGGAATGTTTAAATCACAAGAAAAATTGGGATGGAGTTTTAAGAACTGCAGCATCACCTGGAGTTAAGGATCAGAAACTGGTACCTTTCACTGTACTCAGACTCAGTTTTAGTAAATGGAGCCAAATGTAAAAATGAAGTGGATCTCCTGAGCTTTGACTGTCACATTTTCAGGCCTTTTGGTTTGGTGTCTGCATCATCTGGATATCTCTTTAATGTCACTCAAGCACAGATACTAAAATCTGCTGTTACTTTATGAGCCTTTTAAATAAATATCTTTGAAACAAATCATTTCTAGCACCTAAAGAAGATGGATTTTCCAGGATTATTTTGCACAATATGCTCTTTAACTTTAAGCTACACATTTTAAAAGTAAAGCTGGTCTTAAATTTGCACAGCAGGAGAGAGGAAAAGAGTTTAGCCTAAAATCTCAGCTGCTGTTAGCCTGGAATTCAGCAGCAATTTGGAGGATGTGAAAATCTGTGCTGTAATTCTCCAGCAAATGGTGAGTTACCACTGAGTGAATCTGCACAATCCCAAAGAGAGATGTGTTATCCCCAGATGTGGATCAGAGCTGTGTGGTCTCATTGCAGGAGAGTTGGGCACACAACTTGGGAGTTGTTCTTTGACTTCAAACAATATTTAAACCCTTGGTACCTGTTGCCTTTCAGGCAGGGCTGTGTCCTCTGCACACTGGGAGAAGCTCTGGGATGGGGGAAGGTCTGGGATGTCTGTTCTTGAGCCAGCCCAGACTGGAGCATCCACGGACATGTCCTTGCAGTGCTAAATCAGGCTCTGCTTTGTTTTTAGACTGAGTTATTTTGGCCTTCCAGTTGGAGCTGGCTCAAGTCTGGACAGCCCTAGAGCAGATGTGTGGCTGTCTGGGGAGATGGGAGAGTGTTTGCCCATCAAGAGGTCAGCACTTGGGAGCAGCATGCTTTCACCTCCTGCACAGCAAGGAACAAAGTTTATTTTAGAAAGGCCCAGCCACATTTGGTGGAAGCAGAACTGAGATGATGGACACTTCTCTCCACAGCAGAGCCTGTGTTTTGTTTTTCTGGCAGATCACACAAGATCCACTTCCACATTTCAATGCTTACTTCTTTATTTTCAGAATTGAGCATAAAGGAGACTCTTGTTCACCTCTGTTACTTGATACTTTGATCTCATGTTTTAGGGCTTTGCTAGGCAGGGAAGAAAATCCTTGGTTTGATTACATAACTTCTCAAAAATCCATCTCATTGTGGAATTTTCAGCCTGCTGAAGTAGCATAGTTTGTAGAGAGGCTTTAATTATCTCTAATTACTGCTGCAGGAATCTCTTTCCTTGCTGATAAGGAATAGCATAATGTGCATCTGGCTCAGTTGTGTGCACATTACCTCTATGTGTATGCTAAAGATTTTGGCTTGATTTCCAAATGCTAATTCTCATTTGGGGATAGCAGAGAGAAGAAACATTGAGAGTCTGGTGATATTTGTCAAAGTTGGAAGGGAAAGTGATCCTCTCAGGTAATTGCAGTCATGCCTTGGTGCCTCCACTGGAAGGTGCTTTGGGTTTTTTTCCCTAAGTCCCAGTGGTTTGAATAATTCTGAAGATACTTTTGAGCCAAATTGGATTGGTTTTCTCCCATTTTAACCTACATTCCCATGTGGTAGACAACTTTGTGTCCATTATGATTGGCAAAATAGGAAAACTGAGCACTTCAGCCCTGAGTGTCTGGGGCTCCTCAGTGCTGCTGCAGCACAGCCACCACCACAGTCTGCAGTGTTGGCCTGGCTTTGGTTTCAGGTGAAGGAAAAGGAGACATTACACTTTCCCTTCCACAGCCTTCTCAGGGGGATATTTAAGGAGTATTTTGGCTTTTGGTTTGAATGCCCATACATTTTATTTCCCTTATTGTGCTCCTGTGGATTTGCAGTCCTCGCTGGCCACTACCCCAGAGGCCCACAGGGTCCAACCCTGAGTCTCTTAAAGTACGTGAGGATCTCCAAAAACCTTTTCAGCAGTGGAATTTTGCCCAGAGGGCAGAAAGGTGGCAATCCATTGAGTCATCACTCAGCCCCATGATGCCAAATGCAGCGAGAAGAGTCAAGTGATGTTACTCATCAGGACACTTTCCAGAACACACTGTTCCCACCAGGGCTCTCTGTCCCACATCTTCATATTTTAGTCCCCATGGACATCTGTTTGTGCTCCCTCTTCCTCCCCCCTGTGTGGGATGTTCCGGAGAGCTTTTGGGTAACACAATGTACTGTGTTGGAGCACCAGCTCACACCAGGAGTGTAAGTAGGGCATGGAGACCAAAGTCAGCTGTGGTGGACACTTAGATGGTGTTTTCTCCTTGTTCCTCTTGTTGTGTGTGTGTTAACCCATGGAATTTCAGCTTTCAGTAGAGCCTGATGTAAAAGGGCCAGAACTTTTACAGTATTTTCCTTTCTCAGAGGGGTGATGGCAATGCCAGATGTTTCCAACTCCACAGACAAGGACACAAAGATGATACTGGAATGATGACGCTGTACTTCAGTCTGCTTTAAAATAAATAAAATTTAAATTGATCCCTTCCAGTTTCCTTTGTGTAGCATGCTGGGAAGCCAACAGTGGCAGGAGGCAGTGCCAGTTTTCCAGGCTGCCTGTAAGAGGGGCATGTGTTTGTATCTGTGAGCAGGAGATGTATTTGTCAGCCTCAGACAAATCCATGAAATGTTCTCTCTGTCTTTGTGGCGTGAATGATTGTTGCTTTGACTGCTGGCAGACTTAGAGTTCAGGATTATCATGCCCTTATCTCTTTATCCAGAGCCTTATCTGCCTATAACAGATACACTGCAGTAGCTTCTTGAATGATTAGGTCTTCTATTGCTAATGTGTTAAAAGGTGGCTTCAGGGGAAGCAGCCTTTTAATGAAGGTGTTCTCTGTTTAATTTTTGGTTGAGCATTTTATAGAAAACTTGCTTTTTGAAGCAAATACATTCTTATTTATAAAATAGAAAGCAATTACTTAATGTTGATTTTGGCTAGATGAAGTACTCCACTGGGTAAGACTGTTTTGTACTTAGATTTATATATGTAAAGCAAATTTACCATTATTTAGGGTGTTGTGTGGACTGGAACACAGTTGTGAGACAGAGGAAAGAGGAAGCATAGCAAAAACACACACATGTGGGTTTGTGCAGAATCCCCATTCAGTCAGGGTAATGAACTTCACTCAAATGCTGCCAAAACTTCCTCTGGGTGCAGGCTGCTCCTCAGCAGCTGTTCTGCATCATTTGTGTGGCTCTGTACCAGACTTACACCCAGCTCAGCTCTCTGTGTCCACACCATCATTAAACCAGAACCAAGAGTTTACTGCAGTAGCTTCCCTTTGTGTTCTGGGATGTTTAAGTGCAGCATTCAGCAAATGATGATTGTTCTCTTTTTCTTCTCTCCATCCATCAGGAGCTGGTCAGACTCACGATTGAAAAGCAGGAGCATCCCTCTCCCACAAGCCCAGTTAAACCCAGTTTGCCAGCATGTAAATCTGACAGGTGGGTCACTGATTTCTTCTGTGGGCAGCACTGATGTAGAGGGGATAATTTCTGACTGCTGACAGTTGAGTTAAATCATTCAGCTGCTCTTCACAGGGGGTAGTGTAATGTTCTTTATGTAGCCCCCCCATCTATTTCAGTAGGATCAATAAAAGAGAATAAGCTATGATAGGAAAGACACCAAAATCTGGCAGTGAAACACCCTTTGTGTCACATGCACTCTGAGCTCTGATTATACATGGAATTCCACCTGCAGATGCAAATTCTGCCTTCTGCTCTAGGTGTCTGTCTGATAGCACATGATTTAAAATAGGCTTGAATCTGTCAGGGCTGTGTTCCAGCTGTGATCTACAATCTGTGTTTTGCATGTTGCAGCCCATCAGAACTTCCCCTTACAGACCGAGAAATGGAGATCCTCAACAAAACAACAAACATGACTCAATCCAACGAGCTGCTGACTGACTCCATGGATGAAGAAGTTGCACCTCCTAAACCCCCTCTGCCCAGCATTCGTGTGGCAGAGAACAGGTAACACTGCCCAGCCAGCCAAAGAGCACCAGTGCCTCTTAGCAGCCTGTTGGTTTTTAAATAATCTTGCAAAATGTGCACAAGAGAGGAGGGTTAATGTTGCTTTTGAATTTTCAGTCCTCCAGAGCAATTCTTCCCTGCTCCTGCACTCTTTGTGTTCTCTCTTATTATTTCTTTGTGTCTTCTTTTTATGTGAGGGTAATGCCATGCCCTGATACCCACACATGAGAGGCATCACATAAATCCATATAACCTCACATAAAACTGTGTGATTTCCACACTGTGCAATCTTGGTCTGCTGTATCCCATGGGAGATGTTCCTTTAACCTCAGGGGCAGTTCCCAATCTGTCCTGCACAGCCAGGCTGTTCAGCTTTGCCTATCAGCTTAAGAGTGAAAGCCAGGAGTGTGTGAAAAAAAAACCTTGTGCTTGGTTGTTCTTACCCTGTTCTGAGAGTAACCACATGAAAGTTTCTGTGTTCTATTTTGAGAAGGAAGAGAAAACCCCCAATTTGCAGGTTTGTGTGTGTGTGTTGTTTTTCTCCTCTAGTACTGGTGCTGATGGCTGGTGTGAAAAATATGTGTTGTGGTAATTTGCAAACGCGGCTGTGGCTGACAAAAAGAATCACATTTCTGTGTATTTTATGAATTCTCAAAGGTTATATAAAATTTTCGTGGTATGTTCCAAGAACAGACTATGTGTGCTCTTGGGAACTTCTCAGGCTTGATGACTACCAGAATTACGTGTCAATAGGAGCAAAAACTTAAAAGTCAAAGGGTTAAACTCTCACAAATTACTGTAAATGTGTGGGTCTGACACAGATTCATGTCAAAAGAGGGGGCCCTCACAGTGCACAGTGAAAGCAGCTCTGACCCTTTTGTTCCCTGAAGTTCACCAAGAAAGCAAAGACCAAGAAAGAGAATTTTCCTGTCCTGTAAATCTGTTAAAATTTGAGCATTTTTCAGATCTGGAAGGTTTGAGGATGGGAAGGGACTTCTGTGAATGGAAACAATATTTGGGTCAACCAAAACATTTAATTTGGTTTTTCACTGCTTTCATTAAGAAATAATTACCATGCTAATTAGCTCCATTAAAAATACTTTTTACAGCAGCATTTGTTTCTGTTTGAGAAATACCAACCTTACAAAATAAATCACTTAACAAGAGAGTTACCTTACCTGTGAGAGTAGTCTTAAATCGATATTTTTAGTGGATACATTTTGCTGAATATCTCCTGGCTGACAAAAGCTTTCTGGAAAACATCTCGTGAAGCCTCTGAAAATCCTTTTTTTTTTTTCTGGGAGAGTGATGGAAACATCAATTCCTGTTGTGTCTTGCAGCCCTCCACCAGCATTACCCCCTAAAAAACGTCAGTCTGCACCTTCCCCAACCAGAGTGGCTGTGGTGGCCCCCATGAGCAGAGCTACCAGTGGGTCCAGTTTACCTGTTGGGATCAACAGACAGGTAATGGCATAACCCCGTTGTGAGAGCCAAGGGAAATGTGCTGGGAGCTGGAGAAAAGCTCAGGGAGATGCTGAGGGCTGCAGGTCCCTGCTCGTCCCAGGCATTCTGCAGTGGGAGTGGCAGGAGCAGCAGTGTCATAAATAATGTTGGCAGCTTAATTTTTATTTTTATTTTTTACAGTGTTATTGTGTTTAATTAACAAATTGCTACAAACTTGGTTGCCTTGAGGGGTGGCAGAGTGTGAGGATGGGAGTGGCTGAGTGTTGCCATGGCCAATAGATCAGGGGACAGCAGCTGGCTGAGCTCCCTGACATCTCACCATCTCATGAAAGACTTATTTTCATCCAGTCACAATTTCAAACATCTTTTAACTCAAGCAGCAGTTTGAGCTGCTGCTCTGACTGCTGCTGGTGCTTTGGGGAAATTTGCACATTTTCTGGTAGAAAAATGGGAAAGTTGTATGTGTGTTAATCACATTCCATTTCTTGTGCTTGTCTGGGGTTTATGAGGTTGTAAATGGCTGGGTTTGCTTTACCCATTCAGGAACTTACTAGCTCAGCAGTGAGGACCTGAATCATATCAAATTGCACAAAAATCAAATCTTGTCCTCATCCCTAAAGCCTCAGCTCTGGCTTAGGGAGTCTCTACAGTCATTTGGCTGACTCAGATAAAGCTGTGGCCACTCTTCAGTTGAAACTGCAGTCACACTAAAGGTGTTCTGATGGAGTGGGAATAGTGAGGGGTTCATTCACAGGTTAATAAGCTTGAGGTGATTTCTGAAATGGGACCACAGCCATAGGCACAGAAAGTTGTATCTCACTGTAGTTTATTTTCTCTTTGTGTGAGGTAACCAAGTATTTGCTAAAGGCCCAGGTGTGTTATGAGAGATCTTGCAGTGTCATTCCCTTGTCTCAGTGTTGGGATAAGCAGTCAGCAGACACAGGTAGCTGTGAAGAACTTGATCATCTTCTCAGCATCTGTAAAGTGTGGGCCACAGCAACCCCTGCTTGAAATCAAGAACACCCAGAGCTCCCTGGCATGGCTGTTTAGCACATCAGAGAGTTTCTGTGTTCTCCCTGAGCTTAGAGAGAGCCAGCAACACTGGGAGGTCTTTGCTCCTCGAGCTGCATCTTCCTCACTAGCGAGCTGCCGAGAGTGATGATGGTTTGATGCTTTTTATTTTTTTATTTCTGTCCTGAAGGATTTTGATGTTGACTGCTATGCCCAGAGGAGGTTGTCAGGTGGAAGCCACTCCTACGGGGGGGAGTCTCCTCGGCTGTCCCCGTGCAGCAGCATTGGCAAGCTGAGCAAGTCAGACGAGCAGCTCTCGTCGCTGGACCGCGACAGCGGGCAGTGCTCCCGCAACACCAGCTGTGAAACCCTGGGTAAGAGGGGCTGCTGGGGGCTGCCCTGCCCTGCCAGCTCAGCTGCACGAGCTCATGGACTCAGTGCACTGCACTTGCAGCTGCTGGCTTGGAGTTGCTGCAGGCAGCTCAGTGCAGAGCTGTTTCAGAGAGGGAAAAGCCCAGGGGAATGTGTTTCCCTTGCTGTAGGCGATGGTTCTCAAACTCAATTCAGCTCTCAAGTGGAGTGTTTTCTTCATTTCAGCCCTGTCTGCAGAAATTACAGTCCTGGTAGACTAAAGCAGTGTGGTTTCTACATGCTAGGAAAGAAAATAAAAATATAAATATGACAAAAATTAAGTCTGCAGATGTCTGCCTAGTGAATTTCTGTTAGTTGTTTGCTAGTGTAAGGAATTAATTATGAGTTGTATGAAGTCTGGATGTTACAGAAGGTGTAAAAAGATGGTCCCAGCTGCAAGGAAGTTCCACTCTGATTAAAATAAACCGATTAATTAACTGATAGAATGGGAGGGACAGAACTGAGAAGGTAAAAGAGAGAAACTAATACATCATCCTCTGTTTACCCAGATCAATCAGATCACTATGATCCAGACTATGAATTCCTGCAGCAGGACCTCTCCAACACTGATCAGATACCTCCTCAGGGGCCCAGTGTCCTCAGCCCCTTGCCAGAGTCCCTGGGCGAGTCTGGCTCCCCTTTCCACGGACACACGTTCCAGCTCCCGCAGGGCTCCTCTCCCCCAGTGGAGCCCTGCAGCCTCCCAGGAGCAGCACAGCCAACAGAGACTCCCCCAGCTTTGCCAGAGAAGAAGAGGAGGAGTGCAGCCTCGCAGACCTCAGAGAGCTCGGGCTGCAGGGTGTCCTACGAGAGGCACCCGTCCCAGTACGACAACATCTCCGAGGATGACCTGCAGAGCGCCGCCCTCGTCCCCTCCGTGCCCTTCACGCCCTTTGCTGCTGTTCTGCCTTTCCAGCAAGGAAACTCTTCAGCTCCAGTGGGATTCATTGGTGATTTTGCTGCTCCAGTTTCGAACAGTGACCCAGAAAAGCCGCCACCTCTGCCAGAGAAGAAAAACAAACACAGTAAGCAAGTTTCTGCTTGGGGTTTGTTTTTTACCTTGCAGTTGTCATGCTTGTGATCATCACTAAGTAGTGGTGATCGTGGTGATGCTCTTATTTGAGTCTGAGTGTCCAAAGCAGTTGGTCCATGTCAAAGACACGGAGGGGAAATGTCAGTGCTGTGATGGGCAGGGGGTGATTCCTGGGGCCAGGACTGATCAAGGCCCAAGGGACCTGGAATCACACAGCATCTTGTTTACTGCAGTGAGACCATGTTACTTCTCTGTTCACCTGAATGTGAGTCCTTCAGGCACACTGTCTTGCAGATCTTTCTGCTCTGTTCTCCCTTTTTAAGTCTGCTTCTTCCCCCCTTCCCCAATTTTGTTTTCCCACTGCAGGGGAGAGTTGGGTCCTCTCCAGGAGCTCAGAGAAAGGGCTGCTTTTCTGTCCAAATCCCAGCCCTGCCAGAGCAGTTATTGGCAATAGGAGCACAGTCACCCACATAGCTGTGCAAGACAACACTATTAACTAGACTCCAGCACTGCTGTTTTGCTGCAGGATCTCATTTCCTTTGAATGCCTGAGAATTTCCCACATCATTAAAACAAGCAGCAAAGGCTCCTGTCCCCAGCCAGACTCCTGGCACACCAGGGCTGACCACATCTCAGGCTCACAACAACCTTCCTCTGATTTCCTTAATGTTCATGGCTGAAAAATGTGAAACCTCTTGCCAAACAGGCAGCCACAGTGCTCTGCCAGGGGTGGCTGTGGACTGCACAGTGAGGTCCAGCAGATTTTGCTTTACTGGTCACTGGCTGGCTGTTGCATGAGGAGGTAATGTCTACAAGATCTGGAGGAAGAGCATTACACTGCATGGCTGGCAGCCCAAGAGAAGAGCTGATTTCAAAGAGCTGAGTTGTCCTTCTGGCCCCTTTCTGCAGTTTATGCACTTCTCACTGAGAATAATTTTTGTCCAGAGAGGTTGTGGACTCCCTGTCCCTGGAGGTGTTCCAGGACAGGCTGGATGGCACTCTGAGCAACCTGGCCTAGTGCAAGGTGTCCCTGTGCATGGCAGGGGGGTTGAAACTGGATTCTTTAAGGTCCCTTCCAACCCAAACCAGTCTGAGATGCTGCAATTGTATGGATAAGGTGGGAGTAAGAGGGGTGTGTGATGTCAGGGTTATTCTCTCCATTCCTGTGCAGTGCACTCTGCCAGTCACTTCTTTAAAAATGTGCCTTGTCTGAAAGCATTTCCATTATCCCTGAGAGACCAGTCCACATGAGTAACCCTCAGGGATTTTACCCAGAGCACAAGGCTTGACCCACCTGAAACTGGGGGTCATCCAAGTGTCCCCATATGCAGGAAATCTCTTTTGTTCCTGTCTGGTAATCAAGCAGTTAAAGACGCTAAAATCAGCTAAAAAAGAGGCTGAGATGGTTGTGGACAACAGAGAGGAAGCAAATGGGCACAGACAAAGGTGTTACAGTTCAAAATGCTCTCCTGAAGTGTGAGCTGCCAGGGGCTGTGATACAGAGCACGTCAGTGCAGGGTCAGATCCTTGTGGATCTGCTGTTCCCAATGAGGGATGGCTGTTACCCCACTCAGGCTGGGAGGGATGCAGGGAAATGCACCTCAGTGCACGTAGGCAGGAGGGGAGATTCCTGGGTGAGTCTTGGGTAAGAGGAAATTTTGACATTTGCAAGAGAGATCTGAGCTGTTTGCTTGTGTCTTTTAAGCCCCATGTCTTTGTTTTCTGCTAAATGCTAAAGAGTTGACAACAAGTTTAAAAGTAATCTGCATTATTGCTTGAACACAACTATAACCTCAGTACCAAGACCTTGAGTGAATTTTCTTTGATGTTGGATTAGAGTTAATTGTAATCTGGCACTACCAGAAATTTTGTGAGTATTGATCAGATTGCATTGTTAGGAGAGGCAGGAGCTGTTACCTAATGTGTTGTCAACTCTGATGATTTGATAAAGCATCCTTGCTGCAAAGCTTGTAGGTAGTCCTGGGGCTGATACCTGACCACTGCAAATTTTTTAGTTGCATTTGTGTGACACTGAGAACTTGTTTTAGGTTGTTTTTAACTCCACAGTATATCACACCATGGATTTGTGGTTGCTAGTTTTACTTTTTCAGCATTTAAAAGGCCAATCAAACATTACTCAGGCTCTGTGGTGACACCCAGGATATTTTTTGCCCAGAGGCTGATGCATGTAGATATTCTTGTGTAATCACACAGGGCTGCTTCCAGAACCTCAGCAAGCTCCTGGGATCTGGAGAAAATGCATGGATTTGTTAAAAAACACAGATAGGACTTGGTTGTGGTGCCTTTGTTGTGGGTCATCTTTGGGTAGCTGGCAGCAAGTGTTGCAGCAGAGACACTGATGGTGTTTATTGGTAATACAAGGAAGAACTGCTTGAGTTAACCTTGTGCATTGCTGTGAGCTGTGCTCAGAGGGACCTCCAAAAGTTGACTTCTGTATAATTTACACAGAGGAGTGATAGGGCTTTTAGTCTGGCATGAGTTATGGTTATTTTACTGTGCTAAGGGCAAATTACTCCAGACTTCTGCTTGAGCACCAGCGCTGTGCTCCTGCTGAACGAGACACAGACACGGAACAGCTTCTGCCATTAAGAGCCCAGAGTCAGAAATAACAAGATCCTTTCCCCAAACAGCTTGGAAACTACTGGTGAGGCACTTATTCATGTTTCCCTCCCTGTCAGTGGGAACAAAACACAGCCTGGTGCCCAGTGAGCAGCTGGTATTTAACTGCAGGAACCACGCTGAGGGCAGGCTGGGCTCAGCCAGCGGATAATGCCAGCTCTGTGAGGAGCAGCTCTCCTCCCAGAGGTGACAGCAGCCACTGCCTCATTGACCTTGGCTTCTGCTGTGTGGTACAGCTTAAGAATGTCCATTATTTTGGCTCTTGTCCATGCCACAAATCTGTTGTGCCTGTGCAGGGTGCAGGGTCGGGCTGGGGTGTCAGGGAGCCCTCCAGGGGGATGCTGGTGTGCCTCACCTTATTGCAGGTGTGCCTCACCTTATTGCAGGTGTGCCTTAGTGCTGATCATCCCATAATAACCCCTTTGGACTCCAGCAGCCCCTGGTCCTCTCCTGCAGATGAGTGTTGCTTCCAGAAGAGCAGTACCTGTGACTTGTGCCATATGGGCAGAGCTGGTGTGTGCTGGAAATCCCTGAGCAGCTTTTGCTCCTTCAGAAATGACAGGCAAGGCACTGCAAGCAGATTGTTGGGAAGGTGTTCCAGCCTCAGTCTGAGATTTCATGGGTTTTTTAATTTTCACATATTTTCTGTCTGGGTTAAGAGCTGACATAAACTGGGCATGTGGTGGGAGAGGTTTCTCTCTCACGCCTCCTTTTCTCCTGGGGTGCTGCCTTGAGACTGTCACTCCACCCCAGCTGCTCACTGGGGAGTTGCAGCCCCCATCCCTCCCTCTGCACAGTTGCTGCAGGGCGTGCAGCCTGAGCTGAGCTGCTGATGTAATTTCCCATCTGCTTTTAAATTTCTGCCTTGTTAAAAACCACAGTGCAGAGGGGGAGAGGAGACCCTTTGCAATCAGGAGTCATGGGAGTGCTCCTGCTCTCTTACTCTCCTGTTCAAGATTGGCAGGGCTTTAATGATGCCTGTTTTGATTTGCACTCTGCAGTGCCAGGTTTGTATTTCACCATCCCAACTGTTTTTCACTTTGCCTAAAAACAAAGATGACAAAGTCGAGGCAGAGACATGCTCACCTGCCCAGGACTAGTTGTAACAGGCCAGGCAGGGGAGCTGCCATGACAATGGGATGCATTAGCCCCTAAAGAGCTGAGATAAAAGAGCTCTTCATTATTCCCTTGCAGATTGAGTTAAGGCAGATTGAGCATTCAGGCTCAGTGCCCTGAGCTGCAGTGATTTAATTTTACACAAGTGTCTGATGTGATGCCCTTTTCACCAACACTTGTGAGCTGTGGTGTCATTGCAGAGTTTGGGGCTGTGCCAGGAGCTCACAGCCATGGATCCCCAGTGGTGGCTGCAGTTCTGGGTGTTCACTGAAGCTTTTGTAGGTGACTCAACACCAAGGCTTGGTCTGCATTCCGCAGTGGCTGCTGCATTGTGCCAGCACTGCCAGGCCTGCCCTGTTGGCTTTTGTCCTGCTCAGTTGATGAGCTCTCAAAATGTTTCCCTCAAGCTCTTGTCCCCTGCGCTTCTGCAAGGGCTCCTGATCCTTAGTTCAGTTTTGCTGCTAGACAAATATCTTCCATAAGCCTTCTTTAGATCTTGTCTCCTGAAGTTGTTGTGTGATACCAGGGCATTTTCCAGGGCACAGGAGCACCTAAGCCAACTGAATCACTGATACCTGAAAAGGCTATTTTAGCAATTCTGTATTTGCTGCACCATCACCATGATTCCAAATAACACAGTAATTCCAGAACATGCTTCTTGTCACTGTGAGGTGGTGCTGGGAAGGAGCAGGGAGTCTGAGGGAGGAAGAGGAGCAAGGCTCAGGTGGCAGGGAGAGCCTGAGGTCAGGACAGCAGCAGCTTTGGCAGGGCTGTGCAGGACTGGCTGTGCTGCAGGACATGAGCAGGTTGTGCTCTGGCAGGGCTGTGGGGTCACAGGATGGGGACAGCAGGTGCTACCGGTCAGGATTGGAGTCCATCAGCTCCATTTCCTGTGCTCCCATTGCTCCAACCTCGTTTTTTCATTATTTCTTTTTTTCTTTATTCTATTTTTTGGAAGAGGGTTATAATTCTTTTGGGGAAGGGCAGCTGTGTTAGTTCCCTTTCTAAATGGAGTTTAAAATATTAGAGGAAATCTGAAAAAAGGTGCCCAAGACAGGTGCAAAGCAACTCCTTCCTGCTGACACATTTGCAGGGCTGTATCCTGTTTTAAGGCTGGCCCAGGGCTCTGCCTTGGCAGGTGAACAGAGGAGCAGCCAGTGTGGGAACCAACTTCATGATGTGCAAATCCTGCATTGTGCTCATTGTATTTATAGCTTTCCCTGAAGTCATCCACTCCTTTCAGCTGTACAGCTGAAATGCCAGCAGAAGATGAAAAATTGCCACCAAATGACCACATTTAGAAGAAGTAACAAGTGCTTGTTTATCAGGAGGAAGGGAGGGATGCTCACAGTGCCTTGTGCATGACAGCATGTTTACAAGAAGGCCTGGGTTAGTCCTTCCCATGACACTGAAATACATCTGTTTGTCCTGCTCTCAGGTGCACAGAAGGGGATTCTTTCTTTGTTTTACATTATTCAATATACTTCTGATCCTTAATAATGGGGGTGGGTTTGTGGTAGTATTTCTCTGGCACTGGATGTCATCCTCCCCCTCCAACACTAAAATTTGCATCAATAACTAATCCTCTGTCAGAGCTGCCCAGGCTCACCTGTGTGGGGCTTTTTATAGATTTTGGAAGAAATATTATACAGATGGTAAGGTCCTCTAGACAAGGTTTGATCCTATTTAACATTTCTATTGAGCCACGTCTCACAAAAGCTTGCGAATCAGTTGAAGTTGAAAATTTGAGATGGTAAGTTGTTTTAAAAAGGGATGCGGGAGCAAAGGGTGCTGGATTTGAGCTGAGGAGGTAGGAATACGTGGTCAGTGGCACTTTTAGAAGTGTTTTGTAAGTATGTTGTACCAGGATTGGCAGTGGCATTTAAAGAGCTGAGGGAGAGGCACAGCCAGGCTCACAGGTAGGTGTTCTCTGATAACAGCTTTATCAGCTTGCCAGAATGGAGAAACACTGTGTGCCTGCTGGTTCTAGAAATCTTGCTGACTGCAGACATGAGACTTACTGTAGATACTAGAATTATTACAGATTTATTGTCAGGATTGCATTGTTACACTCCTAAAAAGCAGACTGATACTATTCTGGGTTTTTGGTGACATTTTGGTGACTTTGGACATTAGCTTTTGAGGAATATTCCCAGAATTGCCATGGATTATGTGAGGATTTGGGCTAAGCATCAGTGAATGATGCTTCTCAAGTTGTTATTTGGAGACCTCATGGTTCCAGAGCTGTGTTTGTGGCCTGGGATGGTGTTTGCTGTGTGCTGGCTGGCAGGATGGAGATCTGGATTTGCAGGGTGCCCTTCTGAGGACAAGCAGCTGCCTGCTGACCCTCGGTGGGGTTTGCAGAGCAGGACAGTGAGTGCCACCTCTCTTTGCCTTGCAGTGATGGCCTACATGCAGTTTGTGGAGGACTACTCCGAGCCACAGCCCTCCATGTTCTACCAGACCCCTCAGAACGAGCACATCTACCAGAAGAAGAACAAGTACCTCAGGGAAGTCTATGGGATCAACGACTCCTTCACCAGCTCAGACCCCCCTCAAGATCTGGCGCCTCCTCCTGCTCTGCCCCCCAAGCAGAGGCAGCTGGTGAGTGACACCCCAGGCTCAGCTCAGCTCCCCCTGCCCCTGGTTCTGCCAGGCAGAGCTGGTGGGAGGATGTCTCCCTGCTCTTACCCCATCGTGCTCCCTGGCAGCTTGTGAACGTGGTTTTAGGCATTTTGCATTCTGTGAAGTTTTGCTGCTTTCCAACCCCACGTTCAGACCGCTCCCTATAAGATTTGAAAGTCCTAAAATGCCTTAAAAATGAAATGTTTGTCTTGCACATGGCAGGGCTGAATCTGAATCTGTGCCAGGCTTGTGTAACAACAACTGCTTGGAAGATTTTGACACACTGAGCAACACTATTCTCAAGAGATTGCTGCACTGTTGTTCCCATTGCTGTTTTGAAACTGTTGTCAGAGATGCCACCAATAATAACTGTTTGAGCAGAATAACTGCTGTTATTTTATTTTGCACAGACCTTTGGTGCAGCCACTGCTTCACTCTGCATGTTTCCCTCACCTCAGTCCCCTTGTGTGAGTCAGGATTTTACCTTTTCTCAGTGCTCTGCTGGCCCCCAGGCTGTTTCCACATCCACATGTGTGTGTGGGTGCTGTGTTTAACAGCACAGAAAGGGCCATTTTCCATGTGGGGGATGAAATCCTGACCTCACTGATGGCAGCAGCAGTTTTGTTTCCAACCTCAGTGGAGGGTGGGATTTTGTCCCATCTCCTTTTAAGGGTTTTCCTTTCATTTCTTTTCTCTTTCTTTTTTTTCTCCCCAACTCCAACTTAAGGTATTTTGATTATATTAATTATCTTATTTGTTCTGTTTAAAAAAAAAAAAAAAAGAAATTATTTTGTTTTGATGTAGCTGACTTAAATTGGTCATGGCATTAACAAAGTGGGAGGAAATGTGGGAGCAGAGCCATGAAATTACCACTGTGAGGGTGACTCTTGCAATATTTCTTCATGTTGTATGTGCTAAAGTTTGACTGTCCCAGAGTGTTACTTTTTAACTCTAATTTTGGGATTTGCGTAACTACATTCCTGTGATGCGAGTCCTAAAAAGATAAAGTGACATTTTTGGCTGAGCTGAATATAATAATAATAATAATAATAATAATAATAATAATAATAATAATAATAATATTTCATGGTGGGGACAAGACTTTAAATGCTGGCATCCCATTGGCTTTGCAATGACACTAAAGAGTCTACAGGACTCATGTCTGGAGGATCAGGCAGTTCTCCAGGGTCTGTGGTCCCCATCAGTGTGACCCTTGCACTGTCACTTGTACCTTGCAGCGCCGTGCCTGCTTCCCCTCCTGGAGGTGGCTGCACTTCAGGGATGTTTTTGGAGGTGACTTGGGCTGCACAGTCATGATCAGAGTTTGCAAAGCACAGATTTACTGCAGCCATTGTGCAGAAGGGAAATTCTGCTCCTGTCCTGAATTTGATGGCTGAAGCAAAGCGTTTCTTTGCTGCCCTTTAATCATTTTCTGGACAGCCAGGATGTCACTGCTTTGCCTGCTGGCCTTTCTTGTCATTTTACAAGCTGATACCATCAAGGTTTTGCTTGCAGTTCCCCTGAAGCAAAGGTTTCTTCAAGTGCAGCTCCCACCCTTCATCCCTCCGTTGGGAAAGAGGTGCAAGGAGGTGATGGCTTATTGAACAGTCCCTGTAAAAGGCACCAGACTCTTGTTCCTCTGCTCCTGCTGCCCTGGGAGGTTTTGATTTGGCTAATCAAATGGGCATCAGCTGCTCTAGCAGCAGCAAGTTTTGCTGGATGGACTCTTCTATAATATAATAATGAGGAAGTCCTTTCTTGTCAGCTCCAGAATCAAAAATAAGATTTTGTGTTTGCATTGTATGTTTTATTGAACAAGTCTGAGAAAGCCTGAATATATACCTTATTCTCTCTCAGTCTTCTTGCCATAGGGAAATTCAGGAGAAATTCCTTGCCAGGATTTGCCACTGTAATAGCTGCCTCCTGTGCAAATTATTATTATTTTGGACTGGACAGAGAAATGGCAGGATGTCACTGTCACCCATTCTCACAGCAGTGCCAGTGAGGATCCATAGCTCACACTGGGAGGCCAAGTTCCCAATGTGCAGGTTGTCAGAAAAAAACAGTGATGTGCAAGAGCTGTGTGCTTAGACCCAGTTCCTCCTTTGGGTGTCTGTCCCCACGGCCAGGGGACAAAAGGACAGCCAGGAGCAGCTGTCCAGGGTGAGCAGGGAGGGGGAGGCAGGACTTCACATTTAAGGGATTTGTGAAACAAAGGAGATTTAAATTGTAATTTCTGTCGTGCCTCTTGAGCTCAAGAAAGGCATATTGGTGTGTCTGCTCTGATGAGCTGTATGAATAGCTGTTTGTTTAGCCAGCCATTATATGCATTGTTTTACAGTTAGCATTTCTTGCCCTTTATTCATCACCTTTTCTGTGCTCTCTTTCTCTGTGTCTTGTGTCTCCTGCTTTCTCCCCCTTCCTCAGCAGGCCTCCTATGCTGCCTCTTCTTTCTCCTCTGTCTCCTACTGTGTCCAGCAACCTAAAGTGCCCTTCAGCCCCGAGGACTGCGCTGCCACTCAGGGCCTCACTATGTCAGTCTCTAACTCCTTTCTCAGCAGGCACAGCTCCTTTCCTGTGCACTCGGTGAGTTCTGAGCTCTGCAACACGTGGGTATTGTCTGACTGCTCTGCCAATTCTCTGCTTGGCCTCTCAGGTGAACCTGGAGGTTCCTTTGGGGGCTTTTGAACTCCTCTTGTAGTCACCGGGCAGGTGGGAGAAACGGTGTGTAAATCTCACCCAGTGTAACTCTCACCAAGTGTAATCCCCCCAAAGTGTAAATCTCACCAGGTGTAACTCACTCTTCCCCAGGTGTAACTCTGACCAGGTGTAACTCTCCCCCTTCAGGTGTGACTCTCCCCGAAGAGTAACTCTGCCCAGGTGTAACTCATTCTTCCCCAGGTGTAACTCATTCTTCCCCAGGTGTAACTCTTCCCCAGGTGTAACTCACTCTCCCTAGGTGTAACTCTGCCCTAGGTGTAACTCTTGCCCAGGTGTAACTCACTCTGCCCAGGTGTAACTCACTCTGCCCAGGTGTAACTCTCCCCCAGGTGTAACTCACTCTGCCCTAGGTGTAACTCACTCTGCCCAGGTGTAACTCACTCTGCCCAGGTGTAACTCTGCCCAGGTGTAACTCTTGCCCAGGTGTAACTCACTCTGCCCAGGTGTAACTCTCCCCCAGGTGTAACTCACTCTGCCCTAGGTGTAACTCACTCTGCCCAGGTGTAACTCTTCCCCAGGTGTAACTCACTCTGCCCTAGGTGTAACTCACTCTGCCCAGGTGTAACTCTTCCCCAGGTGTAACTCACTCTCCCTAGGTGTAACTCACTCTGCCCAGGTGTAACTCACTCTGCCCAGGTGTAACTCTGCCCAGGTGTAACTCACTCTGCCCAGGTGTAACTCTCCCCCAGGTGTAACTCACTCTGCCCTAGGTGTAACTCACTCTGCCCAGGTGTAACTCTTCCCCAGGTGTAACTCACTCTGCCCTAGGTGTAACTCACTCTGCCCAGGTGTAACTCACTCTCCCTAGGTGTAACTCACTCTGCCCAGGTGTAACTCTTCCCCAGGTGTAACTCACTCTGCCCTAGGTGTAACTCACTCTGCCCAGGTGTAACTCTTGCCCAGGTGTAACTCACTCTGCCCAGGTGTAACTCTCCCCCAGGTGTAACTCACTCTGCCCTAGGTGTAACTCACTCTGCCCAGGTGTAACTCTTCCCCAGGTGTAACTCACTCTGCCCTAGGTGTAACTCACTCTGCCCAGGTGTAACTCTTCCCCAGGTGTAACTCACTCTCCCTAGGTGTAACTCATTCTGCCCTAGGTGTAACTCACTCTGCCCAGGTGTAACTCTGCCCAGGTGTAACTCTTGCCCAGGTGTAACTCACTCTGCCCAGGTGTAACTCTCCCCCAGGTGTAACTCACTCTGCCCTAGGTGTAACTCACTCTGCCCAGGTGTAACTCTTCCCCAGGTGTAACTCACTCTCCCTAGGTGTAACTCACTCTGCCCCAGGTGTAACTCACTCTGCCCAGGTGTAACTCTTCCCCAGGTGTAACTCACTCTGCCCTAGGTGTAACTCACTCTGCCCAGGTGTAACTCACTCTCCCTAGGTGTAACTCACTCTGCCCTAGGTGTAACTCACTCTGCCCAGGTGTAACTCACTCTGCCCAGGTGTAACTCTGCCCAGGTGTAACTTTCCCCCAGGTGTAACTCTTCCCCAGGTGTAACTCACTCTCCCTAGGTGTAACTCACTCTGCCCTAGGTGTAACTCACTCTGCCCAGGTGTAACTCTTCCCCAGGTGTAACTCACTCTCCCTAGGTGTAACTCACTCTGCCCAGGTGTAACTCTGCCCAGGTGTAACTTTCCCCAGGTGTAACTCTTGCTGAGATTTACGCTTCTCACCAAGTGAAGCCAGGGGAGGTGTAGCTTTCTCTCCACGTTGACATGTGTGGCAGGGGACTGAGGAGCAGAGCTGGCCTGTGTGCCCAGCACACTCCTGTGACCTCGGTGTGCCCCAGGCTGCACGTTGGAGCTGCAAAGTCTTTTTGTCCCATTGCATGATGCCACTGATGTGCATGAGTCAATTAAAGGCTGCTGTGTGAGCCTGGCCTTGGGAGAGATAACAGGATGCTGTCCCCAAAACCCATGGATTTAATCAAAGATGTGGAACAGGGGCCGCAGCTCCTTTATTTTTTATTTTTCAGCCTCTGCTAGATCTTCCATCTCATTTTTGCCTGTCTGCTTCCCTTCACGTCTCCATGGTCCCAAACAAGCTCAGTTTGCTTGTATGATTTGCTGATGGATGAGAGCAGGGTTTTCTCTCCTACAGCACTTGTGAGCAGCCTGAAGAGAAAATGGCAGGAGGAGCTGGAAATCATTTAAATCAGAATAGTGTTAGAGCACTGCTTAAATCTCTGATCAGCTGCTTAAATTAAATGGTAATAATAACAAAGTGTTAATATAATGAAATTGAATTCAACCATGGGATTCCACCAGCTCATCAGTGTGGGGCTCATTTTCATGTAAAACTATGTGGTTATGCTCTGATTGCCATGTGATGACAACTGAGAATACACTATTTTTTGACAGTGACCTGGATGTTTAGTAAATTAGGCTTCTCCTGGAGAAGAAATTATCAGGCAATGCTTGAGAAGATTCCGAAGTGTTCAATTAGTTTAATATTAAATGTTTGAAAACAGTATCCTCCCACTGTGCCACTGCTATCTCCCCATTTCAGCACTTACTCATTCTTTAAAAATCAGTGATAATCACTGGTCCAAAGAAGAAGAAAGTGTTCAAGTGCTTTACAAGTAGAGCTACTTCACAAGCCATGAATGAAAGCTTTTGCCTTCCACTTGGGTGAGAGAGAGCACTGTCACAGCTTTGCTGCACACATGAAAAGGCTGAGGGGTGGCAAGGTTAGTGTTTGCATAAATTTGTGGTAAACAGTTCTAAAATTTGAAGTAAAAGTCCTGAATTGTGCAGCTCTCTTGCTTGGTAGTGGTCCTTGCTAGCAAAACATGGAACTGTAGGACTAGATAAAAGTGCTTGACTATTTTTGATTTAATTGGGAGGCTATAAATATGATTCTATAATGTTCTAAAAATACGTGGGCACTTTGATTTTAAAAAGTGTCCTTGTTGGATTAAATGGTTACTACCTATTACATTGCTCTGACCCATTCTCATCTTACTTTGGACTACATTACTGTGAATATATTATTTTAAGAAATGTTAAAACTTCATTAAAAAATCCTTACTCATTTTTGCAGGGATTTGGTGAGGGATAAGATAAATGGCTGAAACAGTGAGGAACAATGAGAACAATGAGACAGGGCACTGTCAAATGAAATAAGCTGAATTAAAAATGGTGATTTTTCCATTAGTACCTTTAAATTAGGGTCATTTCATAGTTTCTCATTATCTGATCTATTTTTTCACAGCCAAAAATGAGATTTTCATTGTGAAAGTGTCTCTGAGCTGCAGAATACCCATGTCCTGACCCATGTAATGCCATAACCACAGTTTATCCTGTTTCCCCTATCCCTAATAAGACAGAGATGTGAAACAGCTGTGGGGTTTGGATCCCTCCTAGGGTGACACCCACCCTCCATCAGCCCTGGCGGAGCAGAGCAGCCCCTCCTGCAATCTGCCCCAGGAGGTTTCACTCGGGGGATGCCACCAGGAGCCCTTCAGCATGCTGCTCTGCTCCTCATGTCCTCTTGTCTTCATTTCTCCTCTCTCCCTATAGAAAAGGCACTGGTGAACAATAAACCTGGCAAAAATCAGCATTATCTGCCACCAGCCCCAGCGAGGAGCCGGTGCCAGGGAGAGCACACCTTTCAGACACTGCCAGCTGAGCACTTGGCCTCTTGTGTACCCAGGTAGCAGCAGTGGCCATCAGATCTCCTAAAATTATATGTCTCCTACATAAATTGTTATATAATCATTCTGCACAGGAAGCAAAAACCTCCTTGGATCAATACCAGGAAGTCTGAGCTGCTGAACTCGATGGCTGTCCCCTGCCCCAGTGTCAGCAGGGCCCTGCAAGTGCAGCCACTTTGCAGAGAGTGCCCTGTGCCTTTTCCCTTCCCTTGCCCTGCAAGTGCAGCCACTTTTCAGAAAGTGCCCTGTGCTTTTTTTCCATCCCTGGATCCTGGCTAGGGATGGCACAGGAGTCACTCCAGGGAGGACCTGTCCCTGTCCCCATCTTTTCACGTGCCACGTGTTGCTTTTAAGGGTTTTCCTTTCATTTCTTTTCTCTTTCCTTTTTTTTTTTTGCCCAACTCCAACTTAAGGTGTTTTGATTATATTAATTATCTTATTTGTTCTGTTTAAAAAAAAAAATTAAATTATTTTGTTTTGATGCAGCTTACTTAAATTGGCCCTGGCATTAACAAAGTGGGAGGAAATGTGGGAACAGAGCCATGAAATTACCACTGTGAGGGTGACTCTTGCAATATTTTCCTCCGAGCCAGCACCACACTCTGCTTGTTATCCCCTTAGCTCCGTGCTGCAGGTGAAGGATTAGTGCCTTACTCCTGATTTACATGGCTTAACAAGACTGTTTGCAGACAGCAGAAAAGAGGTGAAGTTGTTGAGAGCATCTTTTAATTTTTAATGGATGAATTTTTCCAGAGCCCTGACTCCTTTCTCTGCAGTCAGCTCTGCAGGGGCTGCTGCAGCCCAGCTGCCACCACTGCTCTGTCAGCCCACTAATTGTGCTTTTCCCTCCTTTGCAGGAAGTTGTGTCAGAGGTAATAGCTTTTACTGGATAGAGGCAGATCTTGAGCAACTGGATCAGACCTCATAGGTTTGGCAAGTGGAGCTGTTTTGCATCCCAGTCTGACTCGTGTCTGGCCTCTGTGCCAGCAGGGCTTGTGTTGGTGGTGTGGGCTGGTGCTTTAAGGAGCTGCATCATGTTCCCCATCCCATGGACACTGAGCCATTAAACCCCACACTGGGGGGACAGCTGGATTGTTGAAGAATCATTCATGGGATTTCCACCTCTTTTGGAAGTTCTGAGCAGTGGGGAAGGAGGTTTGCAACAAGAAGCATCGTCCTTGGTTATGGTGGGCAGTAGTTTCTCTC